CTTTATGGACCCCAAGAAAAGCCTGTTTCACATGTTTTCAAAACAATGTGTTTTCTAAATTACTTTGATTTTTCAACATTAACATTAATTTTCAGCCACTTAGGTCTTCTTAATTTGCTGAAGCACATTTTCTCTTTTGATAATTTTTCCTTTAAAATTATTTGGAATTTGGTTACAGTCTATTATTTCCTCTGAAAACACTAAAATTTAAAATTCCAATACTCTATGACAAAATATGGAATTTAACCAGCATCCCACTTTAGCAAACCATAAAAGGAGTCTCTCAATTTGGTTGAGCAGTCTTAACCCTATGACTTCAAATAATATAAGACCTCTTTCCACAATATCCAAAAGACCTTTAGTTGAAATTGTTTGCCTTGATGCTAGAAGTTCAAGATCTGAGTTTTAAATTATCCAAAGCAATTAGATAACAGCATCCTATACACTCTTTGGGCTCAGCATTCCTCTTCTCTAAAATGCCATTATCCAGGACCCGAACCCCTATTCCTCTCAGGTGACTACAAATACTAATTCACTTGGATGTTTACTCAGTGCACACCAAGAGCTCGTGCTCTCTTAGGCTAGAAAAGAAATAGGAGTCTTACTTGCCCCTCTCACCCAAAACCAATCCCTAACACCTCACATTTTCCAAAGATTCTACAGCCTGTCACCCAGTCTTCATACCAAACTCTGTACTGGCTGTTTCCTTAACTGCAAGCAAGCAAGCAAGCAAGCAATATACGTAAAAAATGAAGTACTGGAAGCACAGCGGGCAGTGCGGGGAGTTACAGCCACAGGAAGCACAAAGATCCAGCCAGGACGACACCAGCGTCATCCCTAGAGGCAGCTGCCACTGGATGACACAGACCCAACTGCCTTTCAAACTCCAGACAGAATCTGATTAGTCAAGACCATCAAAGCCGTTATGGTCCGCTATGGTATGGTAAGGGCAGCCGCTCAAAGGAAAGGAAGAGACGGTGTAGTCCAAAGAAGGAGGCAAGGAAAACTGGGCAGAGTAAAACAGAAAAATACATATTTTTACGTTTTATTTTTGATATTACAATTATGAGTTTATACTAGAATACAGTCTGAAAATTTTTTTTCATTAGGTATAATACAACTATCTATGGCCATATACACATTTATATTTCTTTTTTATCAACAGGTGTATAAAGTTCTATTGAATGAATGCACCATAATTAACTTACTCATTTACCCAGGACCCTAGTAGTTTCTAACAGAGTTCACCATTAAAAGTTATTTTTGCCATTATACAGTCACCTACCTTTGTACACTTTGGTTTCTGGGAAATAATGGTTCAAATGGTATATACACACATAAATTTATACACCTGACAACGGAACTGTCTTGGCTTTGACACATTCACCACTAGACATAATCACTCCTCTAGGATTTAACATCAACCTACTGGGGAAAGAAGTATATACAACATCACTATATTTTGCATTTCCTTATTAGTAGTGATACTGGGTCATTTCCATTAGCTGTTTTCTCATCTTCTTTGAACTGGCCATTGGTTTTGTCCACTTTTCTACCGAATTGCAGATGTTACTATTATTGATTTGTAAGAATGCTTTGAATATCAGGATTATCCTTTGTTATATCTGTTTGCAAACATTTTCTTTCAATCTTAAATTTGTCTATTAACTGTGACTCTGATCTTTTCCACACATACATGTTACTTTAATGTCAGCTCCTGGGTTATGTATAATACCTAAATAGGTCTGCCTCAGACTTACAGAAATACCGTTTTTCTTGTACTTTAATATTGTACATTTAGATCTTTGCTCTTTCAGGGCTTTGTTAGTGTACAGAGTATAGATCTTTGTCTTTCCAGGGAGCTACGTGTCCCAACACCATTTGATCAATCTATCTTGCCCCCATTGCAGTGAAAAATCCCTTTTATCATACATAAGGGGAGTCTAATAAGACCACTCACCCCCTCCTCTCTATCCCAAAGTAAAGGGAGCCCCAAAGCTCCATTTTCTAGCACTCATGTCCTCCGGACAAGAGCTCCCCTCAAATAGCTTTCTATGCTGCCACAGGCAGCAGTCGAGAGGGAATCCACAAGCACTAGGTGCTTCAAGTAAGAGTACTCCTCTGGGGGTGAGGGTATCCTGTTTTTAGGTAAAGAAATGTGGTCATGTTTGCACAACATTGGACATACGAAGTCACTGAACTGTATACTTTAAATGGGTGAATTGTATGTTATGCAAACTACATCTCAATAAGGCTGTTACAAACAAAACAAAACAAAACCTCCACCAGACTCGAAATCACCATTGATAAAGAGTAAATAGAACTCTCATGATCCTTGTTAAACCATCAATTCTGTCTTCTTGCAACACTGAAAGTGTAATTATCTACCTTGGAACAAAACTATTCTCATTATGTCCATTGTGTCTGACATTATCTCCCTTGTCCCCTGCTTCTAATGCCCATATGATCTGGGAATAGTAAGGCATTCCTTCCCATCACTCCTCAGCTCCCTCTTTCGATGATTTCTCTTTGTGGTACATATTACACACTTATAGTATATACACTAAAACCTTGGTTTGTGAGCATAATTCATTCCAGAAACATGCTTGTAATCCAAAGCACTTGTATATCAAAGCGATTTCCCCATGAGAAATAAAACACAGATGATTCATTCTACAACCCAAAAATATTCATGTAAGAATGAATATAATATTTTGTAATATAATACAAAATAATAAAATACAAAATATAAAAAAAATAAGCAAATTAACCTGCAGTTACTTTTGAAAACCTTTGTGGCTGGAGTGAGGGAGACAAGAGAGGAGGGTTGTTGTGTAGGATGACTTTCACTATCACTAACAGATGTTGACTACACTACAGCATTAATAAACTCTTGTCATATACTGTATTTAATGTAACTGGCAAGAAGGCAGCAGAAGAAAGGGTCTGTATCTGCAGGCAGCCTGATCTACAATGAAGCAAAGCCTTCCTAAGCTCACTCTTGTATGGAAAAGTAAAGGATTGTTCATAGGTGCTTTGAAGAGACAAAAAATACACTAGTGCCAGTGGTGGGCACCTTCCAACGTTCTGAAAAATCACTGATTTCTGCCAAACACTACAGCCTGAGAGTGAGCATCAAAGCATGGGAGATGATCACCCACAATCCCACAGAAAGAGAGAGACAGAGACAGAGAGAAGAACCACTGGCTCAGTTGTGATCATGTGATATTTGGCATCACATACTACATGTATTGCAAGACATTGTTCATTTATCAAGTTAAAACTTATTAGAAATGTTTGTTCATCTTAAGGGAACCCTCACAGAACAAGTTACTCGCAACCCAAGATTTTACTGTATTTCAACTTCTTTTGTTTTCTCTCACGAGATCTGGAAGGGCAAAAACTTTTGTGTATTTTGCACTCGGCTGTGTCCCCAGCACCTAAAACAGGGCTTGGCACATTGGCAAATGCTCATTTAATGTTAACTGAATGAGGAGTACATTCCTTACTATAATACCACAACTCTATAGATGGTCAGAATCAGCTGGTCAACTTCAAAATATATTGGGCTTTTTACTGGAATATCAATTAATTTACATATTTAATGTGGAGAGAAATATCCTTGCCAGACTTTCTATACAAAGACATGTCTAGCTTTCCACTTACTCTACCTTTTAAAATTTTTAAAGTAAGTTTACGTTTTAGTATCTACATTCATAAGCTTACTGTAGCATATGTTTTTGTTTTGATGTCAGTCTTAGTCTCAGAATAAGATGGGCAGTTTTACCATATTTATTTTATGCTTTAGAACAATTTAAACATCACAGGAATTGTCTGTGGTGCTTTTCTACAGGTAAAAGGGTTATACTACCAGGGCACCTGGTGGCTCAGTCAGTTAAGTGTCCAACTTCAGCTCAGGTCATGATCTCAAGGTTTGTGGGTTCAAGCCCCACATCAGGCTCTGTGCTGACAGCTCAGAGCCTGGAGCCTGTTTCGGATTCTGTGTCTCCTTCTCTCTCTGCCCCTCCCCTGCTTGGGGTCTGTCTCTCTCAAAAATAAATAAACATTAAAACAATTTTTTTAATAAAAAAAAAAAGGGTTAGGGGCGCCTGGGTGGCTCAGTCGGTTAAGCGGCCGACTTCGGCTCAGGTCATGATTTTGTGGTCCATGAGTTCAAGCCCCGCGTTGGGCTCTGTGCTGACAGCTCAGAGCCTGGAGCCTGTTTCAGATTCTGTGTCTCCCTCTCTCTGACCCTCCTCCATTCATGCTCTCTCTCTGTCTCAAAAATAAATAAACGTTAAAAAAAATTTTTTTTAATTAAAAAAAAAGTGTCAAACTACCTTTTTCAGTTTATTTCATGGTTGTTACTCTAATCAGGTCTTCTAGCTTGCTTACTTTGTTTTCAATACCTGCCTAGTCCTACATGCTACCAAATGCCTTTGTTCTGACTGGCCTATTCTCACTTCTGCATGCCAGGTGAAGCGGAGAGTTCCTCATCAGCAATCCTACAAGTCTTTGTATTTATTCACACAGAGAGAGTGGTAAGCCACCATGTTACCTTGTCCATCACAGAATCTTTTAATTCTGAATGTGTTCATTTCCCTACCTTCTGGGAGAGTGAAGAGTCCTCTGCTCTAAAATCCTTAGATTTCTTAGTCTTGACCTACTGGATTTTATTTGCGGCTGAAGGTAACAGCAAGGAAACCCTTACCTTAATGGCACTAATTATATGTCAAGGATCGTGTGCTAAGCCCTTAAATGGTATCTAACATATTCTTAAAGACAAACGTTCTAAATGGGAAAATAACATGAATACTGACTCCTATTTTTAAAAGATTAAGCTGGCTACAGTGTTAAAAATGCACTTGAGGGGAGCTAGAGGGAAAATGTTTGTAACACTGTTGTAAACATAAAAATGAGATGGTTACCACTTAGACTATGATAATGGGACATAGACTGGGAAAAAGTGGTGGACTCTAGAGGCCTTCAGAAGATTGAATCTAGAGGACTTGGTGGTATGGGAGTGAGGAGGAGGGAATAATCGAGGATGACTCTCCAGTATGAATTCGTTGATGATGAGTGAGATGTACACTCTGCCTGAAGGCTTTCCCACATTCTTTACATTCATAGGGCCTTTCTCCAGTATGAATTCTCTTATGCAGTGTAAGATGGGCAATCTGGCTGAAGGCTTTGCTACAGTCCTTACACTCGTAAGGTTTCTCTCCTGTATGAATTCTTTGATGTAGTGTAAGGGATTTACGATGGCTAAAGGCTTTCCCACAAACATTACATTCATAAGGTTTCTCGCCTGTATGACACCTCTGGTGACAAATCAGGGATGCCCTCTGTCTGAAGGCCTTTCCACATTCAAGACATTCATATGGTCTCTTGCCAGTGTGGAGTCTCTGATGTTGAACAAGATAGGAGCCATCACTAAAGGCCTTCCCACACTCAGTACATTCGTAAGGCTTCTCGCCAGTATGAACTCTCTGGTGTTGAACAAGGTGTGCAATTTGGCTGAAGGCCTTACCACAGTCCTTACATTCATACGGTTTCTCTCCAGTGTGTATTTTCTGATGTTGTGCAAGGTGTGCATTCTGGCTGAAAGTTTTGCTGCATTCCTTACATTCATAGGGTTTCTCTCCAGTATGAATTCTCTGATGATGAGCAAGATGTGTGCTCTGCCGAAAAGCTTTCCCACATTCCTTACACTCATAGGGTTTTTCTCCAGTATGAACTCTTTGATGAAGAGTAAGTGAGCCACGATGGCTAAAGGCTTTCTCACAGATGTTACACTCGTAAGGTTTCTCTCCTGTATGAATTCTCTGATGTACAGTCAGGGATGAGCCATGGCTAAAAGCCTTCCCACACACATTACATCTGTAAGGTCTCTCTCCAGTATGAATTCTCTTATGCTGAATAAGTCCTATGTGATCAGTGAAAGCCTTCCCACAATCAATGCAATCAAATGGTTTCTCTCCAGTATGATAATATCTCCGATGACGTATCAGAGAAGCATTCTGCCTGAAAGCTTTCCCACAGTCAATACATTCATATGGTCTTTTTCCAGTGTGAATCCTTCGATGATGAGCTAGGGATGAACAATCACTAAAAGCCTTCCCACATTCAATACATTCATAGGGTCTCTCTCCAGTATGAACTCTCTGATGTTGAGCGAGATGTGCAAGCTGGCTGAAGGCTTTGTTACATTGCTTACATTGATAAGGCTTTTCTCCAGTATGAACTCTCTGGTGCTGAATAAGATGAGCATTCTGACTGAAGGCTTTCCCACATTCAGTACATTCAAAGGGTTTTTCTCCTGTGTGAACTCTCTGGTGTTGAGCAAGGTGGGCACTCTGGCTGAAGGCTTTCCCACATTCAACACATTCATAGGGTTTCTCTCCAGTATGAATTCTCTGATGAAGGGTAAGGGTTGAGATTTTGCTGAAAGTTTTCTCACAGTCGTTACATTTCAGAAGTTTCTTTTCTCCCAAGACTTGCTTATGTTTTTTGACAAATGAATGTGTTTTTAAACTTTTCTTATCTGTGTCAAAATTATATATTCTCTCTTCTATGGAAAATACCTGCTCTAGATAAGATAATCTATTCAGATGTAAAAGTGTCCCCGATTTGTTAAAGTGGTCTCTTTTCTCGATAAGGGTACCAATATGAGTGACTGTCTCTTGACTGAAAGGTGTCTTCTGACTTACCAGCTCCTTCTTAAACAGGTTTTCACATTTCAAGTTTTCCCCTAATGTGGAACAGGTAAGGTCACAGCTTGGAAGTCCTTCCAGTATCACTGCCTGGGATAACTTTCCTTCATAAATGTCCCGGCTTGGAGATAATTCCTTGGTCATCCAAACATACTCCAAGTCTGAAAGATATTGAGAAAGCAAATGTCTCCTTTACTTAATGTTAGAAGAATGGAAACTTCAAAAGTGAAACCATGTGAATCAAACAGTTACTGAAGACCACAGAGGTCTCTGAGAATCTTATATAAAGTCAGGCAGTGCAGCCATCCTTGCATTTCTGGAATATACCCTCCTTGGCTCTGGTGTGTTATATCAATATGACAGATTCTGCACCAGTATTCATAACTGAGATTTGTATTTTCATTTTTTGATGCTATTTTGGTAAGATTTGGGCATCAAATGTTATGCTGTCTTCATAAACAAAACTTTTTAAAGTTCTTCTTTTTATTCTCTGTCATGGTACATTTTAAACAATGTTGGTATTTTTTTCTTACAAGTTTTACAGAATTTGTGAATTCTTGGAGGAGGCAGTTCTTAGCTAACTTTCTACATTTCTTCAACGGTAAACAGTCTATTTAAAATTTCTATCTCTTCTGGTGTCAGTTGCCGTTATTTATTTATTTATTTGCTTATTTAATTACTTACTATTTATTTAATTTGAGAGCGAGAATGAGGGGGAGAGGGGAGAGGGAAAGATAGAGAATCCTAAGCAGGCTCCACACTCAGCACAGAACCCGATGCAGGGCTTGATCCCATGACCCTGGGATCATGAGCTGAGCTGAAATCAAGAGACGTTCAACCAAGTCACCCAGTGCCCCAGTTTCAATAATTTATATCCTCTAAAATATTACCCATTTCATCCAGGTTTTCAAATTATTTAAAGACAGTTGAGGGAAACAGATTCATATGATTCTTTTAAGTACTTAGGCATCAATGGTTACTTACTATCATTTCTTTTTTTGCCTTCTGTCATTTGTTTATATTTGACAGTTTACACATTTTACTAGGTTTTTTTTTTTTTTTAAAGTAGGCTGCACGCCCAGTGCAGAGCCCAATGTGGGGCTTGAACCCATAACCCTGAGATCAAGACTCAAGCAAAGTCTTGATGTTGGATGTTTAACTGACTGAGCCACCCAGGTGTCCCTATTTTATTGGTTTTCTAAAGAAGCACCTATTTGATTTATTTTCATTAAATCTACTATTTTCTAGTTAATTTATTCCTACTTTTATCTCTAGCAGTATAAGTCACTATACCTAACTTATTTTAGTTCTCCTTAGACTTACTTTGTTCTTTTTCTACTATCTTGGATACTTTATTTCTTATTTATTAACGTATATCATTAGGAGTATAAGTGACCTATCAACAATCCTCTTCTTGAAACTATGAAAACTGAAAGCAGGAAGAGGCTATACTACAAGCTACAGAATGAAATGTAACCATCTCACTCGAGGCTGATTCCACTGTAATATATAATCTATAAACTCTTATCTACCTTTCATGACAGAACAATAGCTTTCAAGCAAGGCAGCGAAAAATAAAATATAAACTGGGCCAAAATCCCATTGAGTACAAGAGAAGTGGAGAGGTGATGGACGAAGAGAAAGGAGGTAATAGTAGTTAGCTCATTTATTCATCTTTTGTAGGAGTATTAAAAGATGAGGTTTTGAATCTCAAGTGGATGAATTTTAAAATACAGATATAAGGGGCACCTGGGTGGCTCAGTCAGTTAAGTGTCCAACTCTTGATTTTGGCTCAGGTCATGATCTCACAGTTCGTGGGATTGAGCCCCATGTCGGGCTCTGCACTGACAGCATGGAGCCTGCTTGGAATTCTCTCTCCCTTTCTCTCTCTGCTCCTCCCCATTCATGTGCATGCACGCTCTCTCTCTTTCAAAAAATAAACGTTAAAATACAGATTTAAAAAAATATAAAGACATGAAAGTAACAACTTGTAAGACTAAAAACCTTTCTAATTCAAGGGGTGGGATGGTATTGTGTGTGGGGGGGGGAGCATACACAAACAACAAAGGAAAAATACATAACAGAACAGAAAACCACAGAGACAAAAATAATTAAAAGTGGAGGGAAGAACATAGCTAATAATAATTGTTAACCTGATAAACTCATATTTTTTTTTTTTAATTTTTTTTTCAACGTTTATTTATTTTTGGGACAGAGAGAGACAGAGCATGAACGGGGGAGGGGCAGAGAGAGAGGGAGACACAGAATTGGAAACAGGCTCCAGGCTCCGAGCCAGCAGCCCAGAGCCTGACGCGGGGCTCGAACTCACGGACCGCGAGATCGTGACCTGGCTGAAGTCGGACGCTTAACCGACTGCGCCACCCAGGCGCCCCATAAACTCATATTTTAAAGAAGGGAAATTTTTAAGCCACTTCAAACTAAAAACAAATTTGTCTAAAGAATTCAGGAATGTTGAGCTTCAGGGATGATTGTAACACTATGGTACTTGAGAACTAGGTAAACATCATGAAGTATAACGAAGTTCACAGACTGTACTTTATTTGCAGGAAATCAGTACAGATAAAAGTGTAGTGGAGAAGAGAAGATCCATTTAAAATATGGTGTCAGGACAAAAAGTTTTACTTTGAGAGGGATTTTGAGGGGTGTTTTCCAACAGTTATCAGAGAAGAAAGATCTTGAGAATAGTTTCCCCACTCTCGTTATCTGCACTTACCTGGGCAGAGGCCTCCTGTCCTCTCTCCCTTCATCATCCAGGGGTCTTCACCTTGCTCCAATAAGGAGATCACATCTGGTTTAGAAATGCAAAGACCTGCATATAAGAAAAGACGGGAAAATTAGCTATTTTGTGGATATTGCAGAGCTATGATACATTCTAAGAAGTACTGAGAGAAAAGGGACATTGTAGGAAAATGCTGATAAAGGCATGAAAGACTACTGAGGTGGAAAGACTCCAATGGGGGGGTAGAAGGAAGAAGATACTCTTACCCAATGAAACCAGGTTCCTGTAGTTCTCCAACATCACTTTCTTATATAAAGTCCTTTGAGCAAGATTCAGCCATTCCCATTCCTCTTGAGAGAAATCTATGGCCACATCCGTGAAAGTCACTGAATCCTGAAATGACACAAATCTCACCTTACTCAGTGTTCGTGCCATTACTTAACCGGCTCTAGGGGTAAAGACTTACGCTGTTCACACTATGAGGAAAAAAAAAACCCCTGCACTGGGCATAAGTAATTATACTGGAATCTAAATCGTCCAGGTTGTATGGTTAGTTACTGGACAACTTTTCTGCCTAGTTATATTGTACATATTAGGAAAGTGAAAAAATATGAGACATTCTCTCCTCTTAGAGCATTTACAATTTTACGGTGGTGAGAAGACATTCTCATATGAAAATATACTGATTGCATGTAAGATAGAATGTCAAGTACTAAACTGCAGCTGACCCTTGAACGACACAGGTTTGAACTTCGCAAGTCTAGTTACGTGTGAACTTACGTGTGACTTTTTCCAATAAACAAGTACAGTATTGTAAGTATATTTTCTCTTCCATATGTCTTTTAACAATTTCTTTTCTCTAACTCGCTTTACTCTAAGAATATAAAAATATATAATACATATACAATATATGTGTCAATCAACTGTTTATATTATCAATTAGGCTTCCAGTTAACAGTAGACTATTAGTAGTTAGTTTGGGGGGAGTAAAAAATTATATGCGGATTTTCAACTGTGCAGGAATCAGAGCCCTCAACTCCCATGTTGTTCAAAGGTCAACTGTATTTTATCATGTTAGGAGCTAGATCGTTTTTCTACGTGAAGAAATTAAAGAGTTCTGAGACTGTGAGGGAATTTCAAGGAAGGATGCTGATCTGATGAGCAAGTTTTCAACTTCCACAATATATTCTAAGAAATCCTAGTGCTCTGAGATGTTAACAGGTATGTCTAAAAAAAAAACAAAAGAAAAAAACCCATAGCAAGATTTTTCCCTTTTGTCATAAAAATATGTTTTGCATTAAGAGAACACATTTGGAAAGCTGGTTTTTGATAATTTGCTGAGAAGTACTGAGAGAGATCATATGAAGTGAGCACAACCTGTTTTGTTACATGGGCTGAATTTCTTAACCAACCAGCAAGAGATGCCAGCCATCCATTCTGTGGTTGCTGGCAGATTTTCCATTTCTTACTCTGTGATTTCACTTGTTATCAACATCTACAAATGAGTTCTGAAAAACCCACCAGTTGTGAATAAAATCAGAGAAAAAGGTCAGACTATTCCAAAGAATTCAGACTCTGGCACTGACTAACTAGGTGATCTTGGCCAAGTTAATTAACTACATATGCCTCAGTTTCTCCACCTGAGAAACAGGAACAATTTTAGTACTATCTAACAGCTGCACTGTGAGAATTAAATGAAGTAACAGTCACAGTACCTGGCTAAGTGCTCAAGAATTGTTACCTATGATAATGATGAAGGAGGGATAGAAAAGAAGGAAGAGAAGGGGCAGCCAACAACAGATGAAAACATTTCATTTAATACATCAATAAAAGTTTTACTTTTGTTTTATTTTATCTAATTGCAACATGTTACAGTAGTTAAGAACATGGTCTCTGAAGCCAGACCACCTATGTTCAAATCCTGTTCTGTTCATTAAACCGAAGATATTAGTTTTGTTTTCAACCTTTGAAGATCTTTTAAATAACTCAGAAGAATAGCCTACTGTATTTACACATACATATTTACCATTTCTGTTGCACTTTCTTCATTCCTGATGTTTCAGTTCCCTTCTGGTATAATTTCTATCAGAAGAACTTCCTTTTGCAATTCTTTGAGAAATCCGCCAATGAATTTCCTTAGTTTTCCTCCATATGAGACACTATTTCACATTCAATTTTGAAGGGTATTTTTTTGCTGGACACGTAATGCTGGGTTGACAGTTCTTTCCTTTGAGTACTTTTTAAAAGTTGCTCTACTTCCTTCTGATTTGCATGATTTCTGATGGAAAACCCAGAATTGAAGTTGCTGCTACCCTATATGTTAAGCATCATTCTTCCCGGGCTGTTTCCCTTGTCTGTGGTTTTTAACAGTCTGATGACAGAGCCGCCAGGCAGGATGTCTTTGAGTTTATCACGCTGGAGTTTGCTGAGCTTCATGGATCCACAGCTTTATGTCTTTCACTAAAGTTAGGAATTTTTCAGCCATTATTTCTTCAAATATTTTTTCTACACTTTCTCTTTTCTGGGGCTTCAATGATACAAATGTTTAACGTTCTGGTATTGTCCCACAGGGCCCTGAGGCTCTGTTAAATCTTGTATCAATTGTTCAGATAAGACAATTTCTCTGTACCTTCAAGGTCGCCAACTCTTCCTACTGCCTTTCTCACTGTGCCACTAAGCCCATCCAGTGGGTTTATTTTGGTAATTATGTTTTTCATTTCTTGCTGCTATCTTCTATTTCTTTGCTGAGGCTGTCTGCTTCAAGAGAGTTCACTTGTTGGAGCATTATTATAATAGCTGCTTTAAAACCTTTATCAGATAATCCCAACATCCAGGTCACATCAATGCCAGCGTCTGGTGATTAGCTTTTCCCGTGAATTGAAATTTTCCTAGTTTTTCATCATTTGAGTAATTTTAGATAGTATCCTGGACCTTCTGAATGTTACGAGACTTTACGTCTTGTTTAAACTATATGGAGAATGTTGATATTTTGTTCCGGCTCCATTTGCAGAGCCTATGAAGTGACAGTCGCCTCTGCCATACATGTGTCCTGCTTGGTGACCAGCAGTCTATCCCTCAGTTCACTTCTCGTTGACTGGGGCCAGATACACGCGTGAGCAGGCTAGGGTGAGCCTGGGAGTTCAGAAACAGCTTTATACAGTTGATTCCCAAAGCTCCTCTTCTCTGTGATTTCTCCAGTAGTTCCTACCTCCTAAGGGTTCCCCTTCGCAGTCCTCTGGCCAGATGGCTGGGGCTTATTTATTCCACTTGACTGTGCCCCTGCCCTGACTGTACCCACCCCTGGAACCAAGCAGGGAGAGAACAGAAGCAAGAAAACAGAGCAGTAAGAGTTTACTCCACCCTCTGGGGGACACAGCTTCTCAATCACAGACATTTCTCCTCCTTCAAAGTTTTAGATGCCTTTAGACCCCACTGCTACTGTCTCAGGACACAAGAAAACATAATTTTTTTTTTTTTTTAAGGTAGAATCCCATCCACCCTTTCTGAGTATTAGATCCCCTTCCTACTTCTTGAGCCTGAACTAGGTGTCTCCTGCAGTTCTTTTTATCCATGCCAAAACCCCTTGTGGGTTTTGTGCTTGTTGAATCCATGCTAGGAGATATTGGGAGGTAAAAAAAAAAAAAAAAGGTAAACACATTGCATTCTGGGTTTCTTTCCCCATCAGCCTGCTGTTCTTTAGCACTTACAGATGGTTTACCACTTACAGATGGCTGCTCCGTGCCTGCTGTCCCGGTCCTACAGCAGCTTCCAGTGGAAAGACAGGGTGACATGTGCTCAGTCCATCTTTCCCGGAACAAGGGCTCTCCCAATTTCAGCGTAAATTACTGTTAGTTTTAAAATCAATATTCCGTTGGAAATAAAAACCTCCTGATGTTCAGTGCTTCTTGTGCATCAAATGCCATGTTGTAGGTTTTTCCCAGGTCTGTTAGAGTGTATACACGCGTGCGCGCGCACACACTCTATACATCATATGAAGAATTACACGGGCATACTGGCAGACAGCAGCTGTCCAGGCAAATAGCGGCATATAAAGCTGATGCTTATACAGTGCTTATTATGTGCCACTTACTTTCCTAAACACTTAAAGTATATTAACTCACTAACACTTACAGCAGGACTATAAATTAGGTACTAGTATTATTCCCATTTTGTGGTCGAGGAAACCGAAATTAAGGTGCTCTATCTAGTACACAGTGGAGCTACAATTTGTAGCCAGGCAATCTGGTCCCACAGTCACATTACTAATCTTTTTGCCATACTCTGCCACTCTCAAAATATTTTCCTCTGACAAGTAACAATACTGATTTCATCTAAAATGTTTAAGTGCTGGGGCACCTGGGTGGCTCAGTCAGTTAATCATCAGACTCTTGATCTCAGCTCAGGTCATGATCTCACGGTTGGTGGGATCGAGCCCCACGTTGGGCTCTGCACTGACAGCATGGAGCCTGGTTGGGATTCTGTGTTCCCTGCACACTCTCGCTCTCAAAATAAATAAATAAACATTAAAAAAATATATAAAACGCCTGTGTAACAAACGAGTTCCATTGGTAGTACATGTTTTACAGTGTTGAATCTGATTAGAAAAGGTGTTTTGCTTTGCTATAAGCTGCTCACTGATATAAAATAAAGACAATTTTACTATGCTGTTATTTTTTATTTGATTAGTTTTTAAATTTTATTATTCAGGGTCCCTGGGTGGCTGAGTTGGTTAAGTGTCTGACTCTTGATTTCGGTTCAGGTCAGGTCTGTGAGTTTGAGCCCTGAGTTGGGCTCTGTGCTGACAGCATGGAGCCTGCT